GGTTTGTGGCACCGAGTAGGCCTAAACTGTCAAGGACTGAAGCTGAAACTGACTATCTGCTCAGATTCATAACATTGTTTTCTTTGATGAAATGATTCAAATCAAAAAAAAATTAAGCAGTTTTAAGCTGCAAGGTGTAAAGTTTGTGTTTAGGCAACACTAATATGAGGAACTTGTAGAAAAACCTGTTTACATTTGCCAAAATAAAGTACAAAACAATTTTTGTTTTACTATCAATACTGAAACTCTGGTATCAAGTTAGCACTAACATTGTAATCTTTCAAATCATACAGAGCCCTGTTCATTGGAGGCTTTTCTGGCTTGTGAACCAAGTTTTATTTCCCAGAATTCTCATGGCACCAGCAATTACAGAGTTGTCACATTGTTGTGACAAGAGCATGCGAGGCGTTCCATCTCTCCTCTCAACAGACAGGGATATGTTCGTCTGATGTTCTGTGGCTTACCCAGCACTTTGACCTCACTGAGTGTTCTTAATCGTCACGTCTACAAATCATCAATCATTATTTAAATCTCACTGTTCCCTGTGATTTTATAAATGGCAACGATTTGACCACGCCATATGTGTGACTGTTGCATTAATAGATCAAGAAGAAAACACACTCCCGACAGGAAACGTGAGTAGAGATGTGGTGTACCCACTAAGGCGTCTGTGTTATCTTGTCTCAGCAGGGTTTCTCACAGCATGTCCATCTCTCTCTCTCTCTCTCTCCTGAGCCTTGCTCTCTTTCGCCCTCCTTCCCTCTCTCTCTCTCTCTCTCTCTCTCTCTCTCTCTCATTCTCTCTCTCTCAATCCCACGGCTCCACGCCACAGGGACATGGCAGCGAGAGAGAAAGAGATGGAGAGAGAAAAAGGGAGGGCTGGCTGAGTTTCGGAAACATTAACTACTCCCTGGAGATACACCCATATCCACACACACACACACACACATACACACACACACACACACACACACACACACACACACACACACACAAACACACACACATGCTAACACATACAGTGTTAGTTCTGGGCTTCAGTTTGTATCGGATCACCACACTCCTTTCTGTTTGGCCCTGGTGCCAACGACTGCTGACATACTGTCATGTGTGCACATATTGTGTATTCTCTTCCTGTCTGTTTCTTTCTCATCATCTGAAACATGACAGGCAGCCACTTCCCACTGACGGCAACTCTTATTTCTATTCAGCTAACTCCATTGTTAGGTTTTCTGCTTAGAAGTGAAAAAAATAAAATAAAACATTGGGCTGCACTTGCTCTTTGAAGTCGTCATGGCTCATTCCCTGGTTACAAACTGACACAAAGTTCATAGACAAATTCATTATCCAAGACAATTCAATGTCTTTTTGGTCTGAAGTCTCATAGCCAGTGGCGCTGTGGACTAAAGAGTTCGACATTAGTTATATAAAGTTCAACACTCAGTGAGAGGAGGACAGACCTCTCTGCCAGATATTCTGAGACAATTAATTCAACCTGTCTCCTCGTCTCCACAGACCCCTGACTCGCAAGGCCAGTCAGGGGAAGGGACAGACGTAGAGGGATGATGTGTGTCATGGAGGATGTGTTCGTGCACATACATATGAATATGACACATGTACACGCATTCTTGTGAACTTTTGTGAGCGTGTGCGTGGCCTGTATGTGTGTATCGGTGTGTGTACACATGCATAAATGTGTGTTGTCAGACACACACACACACACACACCTGTCCAGGAGAGTCAGATTCTCCCCTAATGGCACCATTGGGACCCAATACATTAGCATATTAAAAGGTGACATTTCACAGTCGGAGCCTGCACTCTGCAGTAGAGTGCAGGCCGATCACTCTGACAGTCTGACAGCCACACAGGCAGGCCGGAGAACAGACACATAAGACTGTGAAGTGCAACAGGGTGGGAATATGGGGAAGTGGCTGTTGGATTTGAGTCAGAAAACACCTGTCCAGCCAAAGTTGGAGGCCTTAGAATAGAGGAGTGGATTTGTAATCTGATGTGTGACAAAAAATGTCGGTGTGTCCCGAAACTAGAGGGAACATTGTGACCTCACCAACAGCGCAGTCCAATGCCTGACAAGTCACTGTAAAGAGTTACAATGCACATTGGTACAGTGGCTTTAAATTATAATGGTGGCTTCAAGCTGCTTTACATCAGAGGCCTATGTACAAATCAATACACACGCTGCACATAAACACAGAGAAATGCTGACACATAAACAACACTGCCTGTTTGCACTATACTGTATCAATTAGATTCACCATCTCTGTGAAACACTGAATTCTCCTGAGTTACATGAGGAAGACAAACAGCACAAAAATCACACGCATTTTTTCTATACAAGCATTGCTCAGCACAATCTACTCCTACACAACAGACACAAACACATTTGTCACACAAATTTGTCCATCTGATCCATAACTGAAAGCGTCGTTCACTATTGGCAGAGGAACAGGGTTGCTGCATTCAGTTTGAAAGATTTAATTACATGAAACGTGACATAACAGTGATTGATTATGATTTTTGGCTTTTATTCCCAAACTTACAAGACACATATTAAAATTGTCTCTTTCAGAGAATTCCAGTTGCCCCCAGCTCCTGCATAATTCATTCCCTACTGGCACATACGTGAACACACACCTGCTGTTATAGACACGCATACACATACACACATTCATACACACACATACTAGGGCCCAGCAGCTGAGAGAAGAGTGACAACGGCTGGGTTCAGTAATTGGCTCTGAAATGCAGCTTCAGCAAAAGCCTTGGTCCTGTCGGAAGCCTGTCAGTGTTTGGCATCTGTTACTATCATTTTCCTCTGCAGGACAGCGCCATGTGAGACACCTGGGTTGGGACATTATCCTGCTACCTTCCTCACTGCTGTCACACAGTACAATGGCTCCACCAACTTCTTCTGCTACAACTAATAATACTTCTGTCAGCGCTGTGGCAACACAAATGACCCGTCTTTCCCTCATGAAAATATTACACTGCGTGTTGAAGTGAATAAGAGAAGGAAAGAGGATGACTTCCGGAGCATGGCGGCAATAAGTGAAAAAGAGTCGGGGAGACACTGACACAGCAAGAAGCTGATTAATACCGACTGTTTATCAAACAGCAATATCCGAGCGCAGAGTGCTTTTCATCTAAAGTCTAATGATTTTGCCACAGAAGTGATGCAAAACAGAGGGATTTTCCATTTGCAGATAACCTGTACTGTGAGCAAACCCATCAGCTTCCTGCTTTCCAGCTCATAAGCAAACAATTACAGAAAGCACTCCTCTCTGCATGTGTCCTGTGAAAGACAATTTTCAGGTTGTAGCGTCTTGTTGTCCTCTATATTCCTGCTCTCTTTGGTTTCTTTACAACTATTCCATCAGCACAAGGGCCAATTTTGCAGCATGCCAATTTTGAGTGGGCACTGAATAGAGTTGCCCAGCGGGGCCCCTGAGATGTAAAATTGAAAAAAAATCTGTACTGTATCCTTCTGTGTGGGTAACTGGAAAAATTATAAAAAGGACTTTTTCTCCTAGAAGTTTTTGAAGCATTTTGGAGTGGGGCTCTAGTAATTACAGCTGCAGAAACCTGCTTTATTGTTGTGTTACCCCAGGATTGCTTGGTGGCTCTGGCTCCTGGCGGGGGAGCCAAACAGCTGACTCCTTCAGTTTGAAATTTGAAAAGGATGAAAATCAGCTGCTTCAAAGACCCACTGTCACTAACTCAGCCAGTGATTCCACTCTTCATAAGGCTTATTATGATATAAATCACTTTTATTCAAACAGTTTTTGCAAGATCAGCCATTGATTTATGTTGAAATTTAGACTTCACTCAAGAAGTCCACTCCTAGAGATTTTTGAAACGCTAGCTGGCAGCCAGCCCAGATCTTGTAGTCAAAGAGGTGGCTCTTTCAGGGACATCACTACTCAGTCATAGCTGACAGACCTTTAGTATTGCTTCATTCAGCTGGGCTACTGCATATTAAGATCCTCGGGAGAGAAAGAGGAGTGAAGGTCCCCAGCCAGACTTCAAAAGGGACAACACATGGTTACTTGGTGTGTACCACTGTGCTGTGCCAACAGGACACCAGAACTTGCAAAATCTTTGAAGGTTGTTGGAAACTTGACAAATAGTAAACTTTCTCAAGGAAACCATGGCAAAATAAATGCCCTTTAAAAAGGATTTTTTTTTTGGCTCAGCTGCAACAGCAGGGCAACCCCTATAACAATGACTGACTGACTGAGTGATGAAGTTACACTATTGGTCAGCCAGCTGAGTGTTGGGGTTTCCCCATCGGTGGTTGCTCTTTCAAAGTGATTTGGCATGAACAAGCAGTGTTTCAAACTTGCTGCCTATATCACTAGATTTGCCAACTTTTCAGACCCCTTAAGTTTTTTTCAAGATAGCTCCTAGCAACAAACCCAGCAATTTTTTGGACAAAGCTTAGCTGCTTGCTGTCAAAGAGTGTCGCCAGAGTCCCCCCTGCGCAAGCACAAGGTCGGTCTTTCCCTCTGCAGGCACACCTCTCTATGCTGACAAGTAGCTCTAATCATACAGCACAGCCATTGTCCCTTAACTTCTGTATTGGGGTTATGAAACCAGGACTTTAGCGGTACAGAGCAGTAGCTTGTTAATGGGTTGGAAGTTAACATGTAGTCTTAATGGACCTCATTTCAGTCACTATTTCATACTTCTGTTGTCTGACAACAGAAACAGAAAAACATGACAACAGCTTTATTGGGAATAGGGTTGTATTAAAATACTGTGAGCGAGTAGGAGAGAAGCAAACATGTAAAGAGCTGAAACCAGCTGACAGGCAGAATGCAAATAGACTACAACAAGGTCCAGCCATATACTAGGTTTTTACCAGAAGTGCTTGCCTTCTTCACATACATAAACATGGAACAATTTAAGTAAAAAAATCCTTCACCAACCTGAGTTGTAACACTGAAAGCCACAAAAAGAACTGAAAGCTATTAACTTACCTTCATTAGTACTGACTCGCTGAGTTTCTCACGGTTCACAATCTTTATGGCGACTTTCTGGCATGTTACACAGTGGACTCCAAGCTTGACCAATCCTGCAACACAAACAGGAAACACACCCTTTATTAGGTCAGATAGGTAAAACACTGCTTATGTAGGACTGATTGTGAGATTTTTAGATGACACCAAGAAAGTGAACGATAAATATTCACAGCACCTAGTGAGCACATTATGCTGGGGACATTTAAAAAGCACTGTCAAATTAAAGCGATGTGTGAAGAAAATGTGTTACATTTTTTTTGGCTAACTAACTGATGTAAAATGGCCCTTGACCTCATGTACGGAATGCTAATAATGATTTCTGAAGTGTAAACAGTTCCTTAAATAAACTGCCCTCTGGGGTTTGTTTGAGACATAAAGGCAATAAGTGAAGGGGCCATTTGTGTTATTGATTCCTATAATGTACTAAACTGCCTGTAATGCAGTTGTGTTGAGTTAGCTAAAACAGAAAATAAAAGGTAGCTGTAACAAACAGAGGTGAGAGGACAAGAACGAAGCAACAATGCCCCTAACTGCGGGAGAGTAAATTAGGTTGTCACATTTTGACACCCAGGCAGAAAACATTACCTTTTACTTCACAAACACACTGACGCACGGGGAGAGATTTGAGCGTTTGATACACCATGACAGTCGGTTGTATTGGCATTCACACACAAACTTTCTATCAAAACTCACATGAATCCTAAGATTCGCCACACAATCACAAAAGCATCTCCGCTGCTTTGCCTCAGTAAATGTCCCCAGGTATCTTTAGTTCAGCCACAAACAATGCAGAAAACAGGCAGGGATACCTCAATGAGTGAACAGTTACAGTGGAACAAAGTGGTGGGTTTGTGTGTATTTAATACAAGAGAGCCGTGATGACAGCACCAATCCATTCTCTGCCAGGGACCACAGAGCTGCACACACATTACAATGATGTTTGCATCAGATAGATTACTTACAAACTGAAAACAAACACACACCCCTACACAAATAAATGTCGCCTCTCTATTATTGATTTCCCCGACGGCCCCATGGTGCTGCGGGGATTTTGGAGACGACAGAAGATGATTTTTAACTTTGTAAACTACATCGTCTGAGCTCTCTCTAACGGCTGGCACACAAAATTTATAGAAACACCGAAGTGGAATAATGTGGATGCTTTGATTTCTTGTCACTCTCATGCTGGCAGAGATGAAGATGGTGGAATGAAGTTAATAAGTGCCTATCACTGAAACGGTGCAGTTACTATGAGAAGCACGTTATGGAGAGAAGTAATCTGGTTGGCTGACATGAACCACACTTACGTGGACTTCTAGCTTGCTCTCCCACTGTCTTTCGCATAGTTTGAATTCTATACGGACCAATACAATAGGAGCATCAATGGGCTTTGAGGAGGCGGTGAGCGCAGAGACAAGTGTTCTGAGGCCGGAGAGACGTCAACAAGGTGAGGGAGAGATGGAGGACAGGAAGCAACAGAGGGAGATGGAGAAGAAGTACATATTAAAGAGCACGTGAAAGATGAAGGGAAAATGTGAAAGCGATTGAAAGTCAGGGATAGCACATTATTCAAATGACAGGCCACAGATAATTAAGCAATAATGGAGAGCACTGTGTGGGAGTGAGGCTCTGGCTTGGGAGTTGAGGGGCCGCAGGGGCAAAGAGTGGAGACACATGGAGGAGAGGAGGCGAGAGACAAAGAGAGACAGAGAGAGAGAGAGAGAGAGAGAGAGAGAGAGAGTGACAGACAGATAAGAAGGAAGTGAATGTTACCAAAGAGGAGTTGGGCAGGAGGGAGAACAGACAAACCCATTAGCCCTGTGATGGTAATCATATGTTAATGGCTGCTATAGAGAAGCTCATAAGTCATGATAAACACATTAAAGAGAAAATATCTGCCTGCAAACACATGAAAAGTTAACTGGATTATTTGCCTCACTATCCATCTTGCTCCAGTGCCTGTGTTTTTGTGAGCAAAGGGCGCATTAGCAGGAGGGAAATATGCACAGGAACACAGCACATTACGATTTTACAGCCACTTTGTGTATGGATTGGAATGAACTTTTACAAGGACGTTCAGTACATAACATACAGGGACATAAGCCATAAGCTTATTTTATACCACATAGATAAAAATCAACAACAAACAACAGCAACAGACCTAATAAAATGGAACAAATCGTCATGGCAAAACATCACACCAGCTTAGCTCACAACAGATAAAACTGGCGCATTGGCCCACATTAATGTACTGTATATTTGTCTTTTTGGGGCAAATTATCATCATTTTGGTGTTGTGTTTGGTCACTGGTGGTGTAACATTACCAAGCCAATGTCATGTAAAGGAGATCAGGAATCCCTAAACAACACTCAAATGATATTCCTCAACAATGTCCTGCCCACATGAGGAAGTATTGCAAGTACTTATTCATTAATTAACTCTTGGACCAGGTAAAATTTTGACCAGATGTTAGCACTATATGAAAACTCAAGGGATCAACAAAGTTATTGAAATACCAAATATTACTATCCCTAAAATGGTTGTATTTTGTATCAAAATTAGACAGAGATAGTATATTCCGGCCTAAACCAAGCTAGAGTATGTTATAATGTGTGGGTGTTGAGTGCTGACATTCATGCAGCTGTTTGCCAACACACAATATTTGTACATAATTTGATTACATAAAAGTGTACAAGCACAAGAGACTGACTCATATTTACAAAAACCAGAATGTACAGCAAAAGAAAAAATTACAAACAGTTTTCAACCAAGGATAGAAAAAAAACAAAGCAATAAATAAAACAAACCACGCAATAGAATAAATAATAATGTGTGTTTTTCGGCTTTTGGTTCGGCTCAACAAAACAGCATTCTGTTTGAAGCGTAGGACTGCAGATACAGAGACATGTGGTTGAGTTATTTTGTGTGCAGCTGCAGTTGCTCTGAAACCCTCTCTCTGCATTGCACATACACTTTTCCACATACACTATCTTTACAGAAGCATGTCTCAATTTAAACACCATCGCAGCATTTTAAACTCCCCACCTGATATCCTTATGATTATATAATACTCAATGATTCCTCCCTGCCTCGTGTACAACCCCGCCATCCTCTTCCAACAGGGAATATGCAATTAATGACACAAGGTTTTCTCACAATAAATATGACTTAACTTGTCTCAAGTATGTTGTAATATCTAATTAACATCAGCTTCTCCATGACCCAAAATTAACCGCTCAACCCCCTACTCTCTAATGTCCTGTAATGAGGGTGATTGCTTTATACTCCCTGTGCCCCTTTTACTTGTCTGTGATAACACCCCAGAGGAAACACTTGCAGATCTGTGTGAATATTCTGAGCTCAACCTGGAGTGGTGAGGCTGGGGAGGGGAGGGGAGGGGAGGGTTTAGGAGATGACCAGGAAGACACCAGGTTTTCATCTAAATCTGGGCTGAGCCAGATAGGCTGTCTTTGAACATAACTTCAAACGTAAGGCTTTGACTGAGAGCACAAAGGGTCAGAGACTCAAGTGGAGAATACAAAGAACATTACAGCTACAGTTGTCAGTGTCTATGTATAATTGTGTGTGTGTGTGTGTGTGTGTGTGTGTACGCATATGGATTACATTTCATTTTAATTGCAAGTGTTTACCTGTATGTGCAGCTGGTATCTTTGTAGGTGTAAAGCAGATGCGTGGGAGTGTATTCCCTCACTGGAGAGGCCAGCACTGTGTTGTGATCGAGTGTCACATACAGGGAATTTATTAACTGTACCAGGGACACACATGCAGACTGGTATTGTCACATATACTGTACACTTATATACTATCATTAACACGCGTATGGACGAAAGCAGGCTGTGCAGCTGACCCGCGTTCCGAATCTGCAAGTGCATCGATCTGGCCTCTCCTTCGGCCTCCTCCAAAATCAATAGCATCAAAAGCTCTCGCCTTCACAACAATGTCAGAATAATGACACCAGCCAGGGACTTATGGGCTGGAGAGGCCACCATCGACTGACCCCTGGCCTCCATCCCGGCTCTGCACTCTCTACTTTCCATGCGCCTCTGTGATTAATGATGTAATGTGGAGGGACTGCCGGAGAAAGACACAGAATGAGAACTTTGGTCCACGGCTCAGCGAGCATCAGAGGCGACGAGTGTTTTGCTGCACTGCGCTGGAAGCTGCTGCATTGCTTCGAAGTCGAATGGTTTCAATCATCACCCCGCTGACTTTGACAAATCAGGGATGAATAATAAAGTTTTTGAATAAAAGCTGAACTGATTGCATCCACAGAGCTTGCCCCTTTCGGAGAAGTAAGCTAAAGAACTGAGGGTAGGAAATTAAGAGTCAAAAGAAGAAAGAAAGAAAGAAAGAAAGAAAGAAAGGAAAGAAAAGAGAGTAAAAAGAAAAAAAAACACTGGGAACCACGACTGTAGTAACTCATCATTAATGAAAATGAGTTAATTAACAACATCTTCACAGAGTTGTGAAAATGTACTTCTCGAAAACTAAAGAACATTCATGGCAGTGCGTCTCTTGCACTGCTTCACTGAGCCATGTGCCAGCATTGATTTTGTAATGAGCTTTTTGTCTCACTTCACTGTCTCTTCGAGTGATTGTGTTTCATGATATCGCAGCTGAACTTGTTGACATCTGTTCTGGAAAACATCTCTAACTGCTGTCAGTATATTCATCATGGCAACATGTAAGTGAACTTTTTGAACACGTGTTGTGACCGAGCTGAGAGAAATATCTGGAATCCTTGTGGGGCGCTACATGGAGGAGTTTATCTGTATCAGCTTTAGTACCCTACAAAGTGAAAGCTGTGTATAGCACTTTATTTGAATGCTTTGACATATTATCTGAGTTAGCCTGGAAACCTCCGCTACCAGTGAGAGAACCTGTGAGATCAGTGGTCAATTCATCATCAGGCAGAGCTGGGACATCCTAGGAAGAGCAGGTAGGAGAGGAGAAGGAGCCTGTGTATGGGCCTGATTTCCCCTGCCATCAATCTGAAACGAAGGAGAGCAGAGAGGAGAGAGGACAGGAACA